CGGAGCTCCGCTGGGATTTGGTTAATTGGTTGTTTATTTTACACTAGCAAGTTCCATTGAGAAGCAGGGCATTATCTGCCCATGTATTATGTAGGAGATGTTCATGCAGAGCTTTGGACAAGTAAAAGATAATTTGTCCTGCTGTTTCCTATCTGGGCTACAGAAAGCATTTCCCATATATGATGATGTTATCCATTAAGTTGAGTCCGACTCTTGGCGATTCTATGGGCCAGGTCTCATATCTCTCTCTCTCTCTCTCTCTCTCTCTCTCTCTCTCTCTCTCTCTCTCTCTCTCTCTCTCTCTCTCTCTCTCTCTCTCTCTCTCTCTCTCTCTCTCTCTCTCTCTCTCTCTCTCTCTCTCTCTCTCACACACACACACACACACACACACACACACACACACACACACGACTGTTCAAAGTTACAATGGCCCTGAAAACAGTGACTTACGTCTGTTTTTCACACAACTGTTGCAGCCTCCCCGTGGTCAAATGATCAAAATTCACTTGGCAATTGGTTTATATTTATGACGGTTGCAGTGTCCCAGGGTCATGTGACTCCCTTTTGTGACCTGACAAGCAGAGTCAACAGGGGAAGTCAGATTCACTGTGTTACTAACTTAACAACCGCAACGATTCACGTAACAACTGTGGCAAGAAAGGTCAAAATGGTGCAGAAGTCACTTAACAAACGTCTCCCTTGGCAATATAAATTTTTGGGCTCAGTTGTAGTCGTAAGTTGAGGACTGCCTGTACTACACTATACCCCTACAGACACACCTCACTTGATTTGAGCCAAAAGCTGAAAAGGGAATTTTTCCAGATAGATTTGAAACTGTTGACAAATGGACAAATCTGATTTTGGCTGACTAGCACATTCTTGTGAGTAACATAACTGCCAAGATAGCAGTTTTCAGAAAGAGCCCTTTCTTCGATTCTACCTGGAGAACTTGGAGATTGAACCCAAGACCTTTAGCAACACAATGCACAAATTATTTCCTCTAATAGGCAAGACTCCACTGGGTCTTGAGGGAGCAGTAGGGAACAGATTGGGATACGTAGAAGGCAGGATAGGAGGATTATGTGAGAAATATGTCAGAAACCAATATGTACACATGGTGTTATGAGGAATGTACAACAGTTCATTCCATCTAATTGTATCCATCTAGAGTAGACATGTCAAACTCGCGACGTCACGGAGCTTTTTCCCCATTGCTGGCAATGAGGTGGGTGCGGTTTCCTCGTGATCAGTTTGACACCCCTGATCTAGAGCAAAACTGGAGAAGCTCCATCCCATTGGTTTAATTCAGTCCAGCAGATTCGTATACACATACACAAAAAAAGTGCTGCATTAGGCTATCTTACCCAGGATGCTGTGACTGATGTACAGTGTCTATTCCAGTGCATTCTGAAAACTCAGAAATATAGTCAACAGGTTAATAGTCATCTTCATCATTGCATCCTAGAAGTTGAAATTCAACTTCTAGGATGCAATGTAACTCCTTGTGACTCTAGAATTAGTAAACAGCCATCAAGCTTGCTAGCCATGGATCATCCAATCATCCATGAACTTGTCCATTTGAAGACTAATAGAATGAATGATACATGATACATTCACAATCATTTTGGAAATAAATTTCATAATGCATTGCATAATGTAAAAACAAATTATCCTTGAATCCTCTGGTGAGATCTCTTCCCTTCTCCAAGGACCATCTCCCATCACTGATGGTGAGAGAACCAACTCTTACAGGACACTAGCTTGCAGTGTCTGCAATAGTAATAGGAGATTGTAATTTTAGGAAGGAAGAATTTCTCACCTTCAAGCTGAAGAACTGTAGATAGATTAGTCCATCCTTGGAGTTGAATTGACTTCCCATCCCTAATCCTGATTTTTAAATATGCCAGTTTGCTATTGTTGATACTCTTGTCAAAGCCACAGAAGACTTTCATGTATACTTTTCTCATGGAATTTGATTTGTGTGATACCTGAATCTGTTTTGCAAATAGTATATTGATCCGATTTAATATGTGATGCTTTTCTTGGCTTAATGCAGACTTGACTTGTTAAAGGAGTCCAGTATTGTATTTGAGAAGACCCTCTTCTTCAAAAGTCTCTTGCGCTTTTTAATATTTTTGTTCTGTTGTTTTATTTATTTTTATGATTTTTTAAAAGTGGTAGCTGCTTTGAAAAAGATTGAGATAGCTTATTTTTTTAAAAAAATAAATAAAAGCCATATGTTGAGTTTGAAAAAGAGAAAATTGATGGTATATTACAAAAACTTGGATTTTACACTATCTTGGTTTTTGATGGCTTGGTAAGTAGGACAATTTTCACATTGCTTAGTGATAGTAATTCCAGCATCCCTGGTTGCAATCATTAAACAAAGACTCTGTATGTTGTTAAATGAGGACCTCAAGTGACTGTGATGTTTGGCTTCCTGCCTGCTTCCCCATTGACTTTGTGTTTTTGGGAAACCAGCAGAGAATATAGAAAATCACAATCAGGTTGCAGGGATGCTACAAGAGTCAAAACTAAGGGGGGTGGGGCGTCATAAGTACCACTTGTTCAGTGCCATTGTAACTTTGGACAGTCGCAGTAGAAAATATTCATAACCTAAAGACTACCTGTGCACGAAGGAGGATGTTGGCTTCTTTGTTGGCAGTCTGGTGCCCTGTCCTCCAAATGTGTTCAACTTCAGTTCCCAGAATCCTGGAGCCATGATACCTATTCGCCTGTTGGTTACAGAATTTTTAGAGATTTTTCCCAGTGCATCTGGCAGCAGGGTTAGAAGTTCTGCCCTACTCCTCCTCTTCTTCATTTAGAATCCTGTCATTTTAAACCTTGAAAGTGTGTTAACCATTGGACACGTGTCACTTTTCTTTCTTCAGTTGATCATGTTGTTCCTGAGCCGGGCACCAGTTTGATTGCGGCATTTGATCAGTGGCGAGAATGGGCAGACAGCAAGACCTGCTGTGATTACTCTTTGCATATGGACATCACAGAGTGGCACAAAGGGGTTCAGGAGGAGATGGAAGCCTTGGTTAAGGATCACGGTAAGTCCTGACAAATTTTGAGTACCTGCGCGAGAGTCATATTCTAGGCTAGTGCCAAGTGAGCTGGGTACTAGTTGTTGTCTAAAAATGTACTTTCCAGTTTCTCTCGGTGGGAGAATTTCCCCTTGTTCAAACTGGGATGAATCAACCTGGAGACATTATAAAGCAGTGAGGAACTTTTGGACTAAATGGCCGTGATCTAGTTTTCTTTTGTTCCAACATTTAGCTAGCAGCTGTGACGGGCATTTTCAGAGGGCAGAGTCAGTTTTGCTTTGTGGTGTACCTCTTGGCAGCTCATAGGTTGAGAGGCTGTGTTATTGAGAGGCACAGAGGCACACCACAAAGTGGCTTGCTTTGCCTCTGAAGATGCCAACCACAGCTGCTGGTGAAATGTCAGAACAAAAGAAAACCAGACCACAGCCATTCAACCCAAAAACTCATCACTGCCTCTCTGATGCCAGCTGTGAAAGCCTACAAAATAAAGCAATACGTGAAATTATACCAAGCCTTAGAGTTAACGATATTAGTTAATGCTGCACTGAGCATTCTGAACTTGTGCATATTAGAGCTATTATGGGATAGGATTTGCCCAGCCCATAGCAACAGACTGGTGTTCTCCACACTCGTTGGAGGTCAGTTCCTACAATTCTATAACCAGTGGAAGTTGCATTTGAACATGACTGTTGGACACCAGGTCTAGGCTAAAGATACACTTCATCATTGCTATTCTAGATTCCTCTGTAAATGGACTGCTGATTCACTTTCAGTCTCTCTTTCTAACAGGAGTCAATTCCTTCTTGGTGTATATGGCTTTCAAGGACCATTTTCAGCTAACAGATTCCCAGGTAAGATTGCTGAGCAGGTTCTGAACATCGCACTTCTACCTTAATCCTAGGCTGGTCCAGGTTGCATTCCACAGTATAAGTGGCTCTGTGAGAGCTGGATGAACAGGAATATCCTATTCCCAAATTAAGAAGTAGACAAAATGAGTTGGCTTCTTCCTGAACAAACTTGTGTCAAGGAATTTGGCAGTTCCCTGCAGCTGGGTTGAAAGCAAACGCTTGAGTAGCAAGTACAACGTTGGAATTTGTGCTAGTCGCTGGAGCTTTTTTTTTTAAAAAAAAAAAAACCTTCCCAAGCACATTCCTTTTCTTTTTTCCCCACTATTGTCATTTGGATAATAAGTTGAACTCTGGCAAGGAAAACAAAACACAACTGTCCTTGTTCCTATCAGTCAGAATTTAATGCATGCAAACACATTTGAACAAGGTTCTGGAAAGTGATTTCTCCATTAATGTTCAAAAACGACCAAATTTCTTTCTTTTCTTTTTTTTCCTGTTTCTCTCCTTATGAAGACAACTTCAATTTCTTTTTCTCTCTCTCTCTTCCTCTCCTCCTAGACTCATTTGGAATCAGGTGGAAATTTAATAATAAATAAACAGATGAACAACCTTCTAAACACTTTCTCTCTCAGTTCACTTGATCACTCTTTTGTTCTAGATCAGCCTTCCCAACCTAGCCTCTTTCAATAACGGATGGAAGTATATTTCCCCAAGTTCTATTGGAATTGTGGGTGTGGTGGCCAGCTGTTTGAGTGGATCTAAATTTCCATGCAAATGGACTTGAACTGCTAAAGAGCAGCAGGAGAATAACATCGCTTATGTATTAAATGTTTGACTCATCATTAACCAGAATTTTCCAGATTCTTTTGTTTGTAGGCATGTGTGTGAAACAAGATGACCTTTGAGCCGTTTTAGCAAGGTTGACTTATGCTTTTAATTTAATTAGCTGTTAGCCTTAGCCTAGAGCCTTTACTGCAGAGTTGATTGTATCAGGACTATAGTTTCAAATCCTCCCTTGCCTTTGGTACATCATGTCCAACCTTGGGAGGACCTTTTCCTTCCAGAGTAACCTATTACATTCTTCTCTAGCAATATTTTAAAGTGGAATAATATCTTGCCAGGCTGTGGAAGAACGGTGGTATAATTGAAAATATCCATACGGGGCCCTGCCTTTTTAGAGTTTTGATATTGCTCAAAACTCATTTGGCCAGGATAAGATAGATCAGGGGTCTTCAAACTTGGCCCCTTTATGACTTGTGGACTTCAGCTCCCAGAATTCCTTAGCCAGGCATGCTGGCTGAGGAATTCTGGGAGTTGAAGTCCACAAGTCATAAAAGGGCCAAGTTTGAAGACCCCTGAGATAGATGGTTGAATGGGTTTGCAAAGATCCAGTTATAGAGTCTTTGATGTTGGTGTTGAAGAAGATTGCCCAAATGTAAATCACGGGGAAAGTGATTTATACAGACAACAACAAATTTAAGTAGCATTTTGTGGCTGATAGCAGTGGGGGGAAAAATAATGTAGAGTCAGACAGCATCTCATTTGTTTTAGTCATAAGGAATTTTTGCCCTAAGTCTGAAAATCCCTGGACATTGTCCAAATAAACATAGAACTGAGGTCAATGACCTTTAAAAGACTTTGAAGTTTGAGAGTAGGAATCTGAGTTCTTAAAGTAACATGGAATGGATTGGGAAGTAGCTCAGGAAAATGCATGTTTTCTTTTTCTTTTTCCACAGATTTATGAGGTCCTGAGCGTAATCCGTGACATTGGTGCAATAGCTCAGGTCCACGCTGAGAATGGTGACATCATTGCAGAGGTAACTCCTGTTTGCAGGGCTGTTAGTAGCGTTTCCAAATGGGCTGATTACACACGGGATTCAGAATTTGGCCGTACAGTTTGCAAAGGATGTTAAAAAAAAGGATGGCGTTAGAATGAGACAATAGCCCAGAATGTATTTCATCAGAGAAACATGCTTGCCAAATGGATATGATGTGAGAATTACATTAAAAGATCCAAATAGTAGGAGAAATGTATATGCTATTAATACTCTCGTGCCTGTTTGATTGTTTGTAACCATCAAATGGGCGAAACAGTGCATTGTAAGGCAACGTTTTTTTTCAATTAATGTGTGCCAGAAATGAGCTCACTTACAAAATGCTTCTGAAATCCAGGATCTGTGACTCACGTGTGATTGAAATTTGACAAAGCTATGGATGTTTCAGTGCTGCCACGTTGCTGTGGTCAGCTGCCGTCATGTGATTGTCATTTCCCAAGCTCCCTGCCAGCTTCCCATAAGGAAAATCACTGGGGGAACCGGAAGGAAGGCAGAAGGCACCCCTCCCCTGCTACTTTTTTTTGCCTGCCTGTGGTCATTAAGGAAATATCTCTGAGACAGTGATCCAGTGGGTTGTGGGTTGTCTCGTGTGCAACTAAAAGTAAACTGACTTTAAATCAACATTACAATAAATTGTAAACTCGGTGAAAAATGGCGGAGAATACAATTAGACTAATGAGAAACAAATGGTACCAAACCTGAAAGATCCCATAGGGCTAATGCAAGAATACAGATATTTGAAGCTTGCAGTCTTTAGTCCCTGTAAGGTGCTCCTGAGATAGAGAGCTGGAGAACATCTAGTATAGGCTAAAACAAGATTGTGATTGAGTATATTGTAAGAGCCAGCATCATCTCAGTATGTGGTGTAGACCAGACCATCGCATTAAGCCATGTTATGGTTTCCTTATTTGGGTGGAATGTTTGTTAATACAGCAGTTGTTTTCTGTCATCTGAGGCAGGAGTCTCCAACCTTGGCAACTTGAACATTTGTGGACTTCAACTCCCAGAATTCAAAATGCCTCATGTTGAATGGAGAATTCTGGGAGTTGAAGTCTCCAAGTCTTAAAGTTGCCAAGATTGGAGATCTCTGATCTTGCAAGGGGATCATTAGCATGTTATATGAACCCCACCTAGAAATTGGCCAAGTTGATAGAAGACCTTCTGCTAGAGTGGAGCTAGAGGACCTAGTTCAGAATTCTTAGATCTGAAATTGGCTAATCAAGTAAGTTTGATCTCTGTCCTTTTTCCTTTTCCTTAGGAGCAGCAAAGGATCTTAGAACTGGGAATCACTGGTCCTGAAGGACATGTTCTGAGCAGGCCTGAAGAAGTGAGTGCATTACAATGTTTAGCATGTTCCTTGGTTTTGGCTACATTCCAGAGGCCAGCAAAATTGCTGGAGCAGTGCATCCTAAATTCAACTATTTGTATTCTGTATTTAGTGGGTCTCTAAATAGAAAAGCCACTTGCATTTTATATGCACAAAGTTTGTGGGTAAAGCTTTTGCATCTTTTAAGGTTTTTTTTAATAGTGTTGAGAAAGTAAATTTTTTTCACTACTGAATGTGTTAAAAGAAAATTGACTTTAGAAATTCTTTCACAATAGAACACGTTCAAAAGTAAACGAGTAAAGTATTTTTTTTTTATTTGTTTAGTGGTAGGTACACTTTTTCACTGTACAAGCCTGCCTCCAGCCACTCTTGCCATACATATTTTCTCATTAAACCCCATGGAAACTTGGTCCCTTGGCCCTTAAAAAGTCCTCGGATGAATTCCCTTCTCTTGTAAAAAAACAGAAAAGGAAATCACCCAATTTCTTTGGTGACAGGTGGAAAATTTCAGAAGGTTGTTTTATGTCTCAAGAAGGAGGAGAACAAAGCTGTGAAAGATGGTTGAATACCTCCTTTGAGTGTAGATGTTCCTAGTTTTGATTGTCAGTATCTCCAAAACAATTTTTCGAAAAGAATTTAATGTGAAATCTGGAAAAGTTGCTGGGCCTTGTAAACAGTAACAACTAAAAGCATGTAAACCATTATGTTCCAGAGGAAGAGCATTCCAAGGAACTCTGTTCTTCTTCCTCGTCACTGAGCCAGCTGTTTAGGCAATGAACCAGCAGTTTACTGGAAGTAATTCCCCTGAAACAGAGAGTGCTCTGTATGGGCTGTATACGGTCAACTCCAGTACGTTCCATATCTGGAATAGGAAGTCTTGTTCCTATTTAGTACTGACCTAGATTGGCTAAGAAGCCGTTGACCTGATAAGCTCCGTGTGGGTGTTGGTTTTGAAAGAGCTTCTAAAGGAGGGAGCACCAGCGGTGGTGGAAAGTGACAAGTGAGCCAGATTCTTCTGCCAGGAGGTGGAGGAAGCATCCCAGAAGGTTTTGAGTTTTGAGTGGGAGAAATGCAATCCAGGTAGTCTTCAACTTAACAACAGTTGGTTTGGTGAACCATTCAAAGTTAGAACGGCACTGAAAAAAAAAAGTAGTTTAGGATCGTTTTTCACACATACGACTATTGCAGCATCCTCACGTTTATGTGATCAACATTTGCAACTGACTCGTATTTATGGCGGTTGCAGCGTCCTGGGATCATGTGATCATCTTTTGCGACTTTCTGACAACGGGGAAGCCAAGAAATGTCATAAAAAGGGGCAAAACTCTCTGAACTGCTTAGCAACGGAAATCTAGGGGTCCGTCGTGGTCCTAAGTTGAGGACTACCTGTACTGGAAAAAAAAAACAGGTGAAAAATTTGACTTGGAGGCCAGGGGAGTGGAAGGAGATGGAAAGCAGATAGTCTTGCCGAGATGGAGGAAAACAGGTCTCCTCATCTCTCTTATTTTCCCAATAAATTGTTGCAGAGTTCATATGCTTTTTTGCATTGCTCCCAAATTGACATCCTTAGCTATGCATCACTGAAATTAGGTCTGTGGTGAACAGGTTCTCAGATTAATTCAATTCAGAATAGAGCTGGAAGAGGTCCTAGAGGTCTTCTAATCCAGAGGTCCTCAACCTTTTGGATACCAGGGACCGGTTCCGTGGAGAGAGGTTTTTCTATGGACCGGAGGGGGCGTGGTTTTGTGTGCTGCCTGCATCCTGTAGATGGGGCTTTCCTTGTTTGTGCAGACCGGTTGCTGGCATGCCGCGGCCCAGTACTGGTCCATGGACCGGGGGTTGGGACCTCTGTTCTAGTCCAACCTGCTGCTCCTGGAATTAAGTAAAAACTTCCTAATAGAGTCAACAATTAATCAGTGGACTAGACTCACTAGATGACTTTGGGCCCATCACATCTCTTCATTCAAAGCAATATCACTGAGTTGTTTGGGGGGATAAAATTGGAAGAGGGAATCCTGCAGCAGCCCCTTTAAATTCCAAGAAATTATTATATGGGAGAACAAATGTCTTGGCACCAGGGGGTTAACTTCTTTTTTTTTTGGCAATGCTAGAATTGTGACTAAGCTCACCTGGGCTGGGACTGCCACAAAAACCTGAAAGGCGACATTTTATAGCCGTGTTTTCCCATTCCCAAGATTGCGGCAGCATTTAATGTGGCTTTTACCTTTGGGACTTGGGTTCTTTGCACAATCTAATAAAGATTGATTGATTGATTGATGATTGATTGATCTCTGCTTCTTTGTCCTTCTCTCTGCCTGCCTAATAGGTGGAGGCCGAAGCTGTGAACCGGGCCATAACCATTGCCAACCAAACCAACTGCCCCTTATACATCACCAAAGTGATGAGCAAAAGTGCCGCAGAAGTGATTGCCTTGGCCAGAAAGAAGGGTGAGCTCTATTAATAGAATAGAATCAAGATTACGCGAAGTGTTAATACCACTTTACAAGGCCTTGGTAAGGCCACACTTGGAATACTGCATCCAGTTTTGGTCACCACAATGTAAAAAAGATGTTGAGACTGTAGAAAGAGTGCAGAGAAGAGCAACAAAGATCATTAGGGGACTGGAGGCTAAAACATATAAGGAACAGTTGCTGGAATTGGGTATGTCTAGTTTAACGAAGAGAAGGACGAGGGATGACATGGTAGCAGTGTTCCAATATCTAAGGGGTTGCCCCAAAGAAGAGGGAGTCACGCTATTCTTCGGAGCACCTGGAGGACAAGAAGCAATCAATGGAAAGTTATCAAGAAGAAAACCAACCTAGAACGAATGAGAAATCTGACAGTGAAAACAATCAATGGAATGGCTTGCTTTCAAAAGTTGTGTGTGCTCCAACACTGGAAGTTGTGGGTGCCTCTTCTCACTGGAAGAAGAGACTGGACAGCCACTTGTCTGGAATGGTGCAGGGGTTTGAACTAGAAGACCTCCAAGGTCCCTTCCAACTCTTTGTTATTTTGTTCTGTTATTCTGTTAAGCCTGATGAGGGAAAACATGACTAATTTTTCCATTCTTGTTTCATAGCAACTTGTCATAAATCTCCCAAATGGTGGGATGTCTAGCTGGACTTCTTAACTTCCAGAGCGGCTGAATTTTTGCCGGGAGCTGGTTGCACATTCCAAGTAGCTTGTTAGGCTGCTGGCTGTTTAAATCCCATTTCCTTTCTGTAGCTTTGCTAGTGCTACTTTGCAAATAGGAAAGTGAGCTCATCTTTTTAGTCCCCGCTTGCTAACACTGCCGTTCTTTTATATTCCCTTCTTGGTCTCCACCCCGCCCTGCTAAGCAGGATTCCCTCCAACAGCTTCTTCCGTCTTTTATTTACACAAAACATAAACCTGCTTTTCCATATGTCAGTGCAGCAAGCCAGACAAACAGGATTTTGATTTCCCTGCACTGACTGTTCCCTGCAAATCCAGAACTGGATTAAAGAGGGTGCTTCAAGATTGGTAGGCTATTTGGGAGTCCCAAATATGAAGTGGAGGTGCTCTGTTTATATGTTCAGCTGGACAACTGAACTGGACAGAGTTCCTTCATCTGAGCAAAGGCACTAGATCAGGGGTTTCCAATTTTGACAACTTTTAAGACTTGTGTCTATGGAGATTCTCAGTCATCCAGGTCATAGTGGATGAGGAGTCCACTATGAAAGAGAAGTCAAAGAGGCCATCTACAGGTCAAAATTGAACAGCCCTCTCTCAACAGAGGGGATACACCATCATCTATCTCCAGTCTACAATACAATCCTTTCAGCAGTTCCAAGAAGGTTCCACACCCATTTGCACTACTCAGGTGATCCTGACAACACAGGCAAATCTCCAGGTGGCTTCAACGACTCTCTAAAAGAATGCAAATGACCAGCCGTCTGTAAGGAGTACAAATACTTCCATTCCCCCACCATCCAGTCAGAGCTGAAGAAGCTTCTTGGATGAGAAGCAAGACGTCTTCAAAGAAAAACAAGAAAGTCTAGTTGCCTCATGAAAAAACATGTTTGGGTTTAAGACTTGTGGCCTTCAACTCCCAGAATTTTGGCCGGGGAATTCTTGGAGTTGAAGTTCACAAGTCTTAAGGTTTCCAGCTTTGGTAAGCCCTGCATTAGATTAAGGTCTGGTGGTTGCTCTTTGCTCTTCTCTTATCTGCTTTTGGAGTGCTGGAAAAATGACCTGTATCCCTGGTATTTGGGAGTATATCCTTTGTGGGTGTCATAACTTCTGCCGCATTCCTCTTTCTGATAACAGGCACCCCCGTTTTCCTTCTGAAGACGGTCTTCAGCACTTTGAGATGAAGCTTCTGAAATAGGACAATCAAGTACCCACTTTTAGTACTGCAGTTTTGATGGTTGCCTGTTTGTTGCTCCCAATACAGAGGAGAACCAGAGCAGGAGTGCCCTGGGATGGGCCCAATTACCCTCCTTAACCTACCTCCACCCCCTGCACCCCCTTCCCAAAAGAATATAGCAGCATTTCACAGGGTTACAGTATGAAAATTGTGGCTTGATATGGTCCCCAATTTATGGTGGACTAGGAGCTGGTTTTTCTGAACAGCCTCATCCCTGCAAACCATTTGTAATGTAGCCTTTGTCACGTTCATGCTTTGCGCTTTGAAAACAAGTGCTTAAAAATAAGACTAAGGTGTGAAACAGTCTCAGAACATATATTTATTTCTGCTGCTCATCAGCAGATTCTTTTATTAGTCCCAGGCAAAAATATTTCCCCACAATTCCAGCCTTATTAGAATTTCCAGTTAAATAGCATTGAGAACACCTGTGCTCTTTGTTGTCTTGCATTGTTTTAAGTTTTATTCATTTTTTTATAATAAAGCTTCGTTAGATGTGCTGATCATAAGATGAAGGTTTTTTTCTTCTTCTCCTCCTTCCTTCCCTGCCTTTATGCAGGAAAGTATTTGAACAGGACATGATGCAGTCTAAATAAACCCAAGATTAATCAGATAAGGGTTTTTGTCTCTGGAGGTTTTATAGTGCGTAATAAACACTTTTATCTGTGCTCCTCAGCTTAACATGTGTTTCTGCAGAGTGCAGTCACTGAATTATGGCACGCTGAGGCCTTACTTTCTTTTATTTATCATCAGCTACTCTGTTGCATAGATTAAAAAAGAAACTGGCAAGGGGGTGAAGTTAAATGACTGGCAAGAGAGGGTTAAGAATCAAACAATAACAATAGGGTTAAATGCGATGCCTTGCAAAAAAAAGATTTCCCACTGCATCCAAACTGGGCCACTTAGACTGTGTTGGGAATACCTGCCTGGAATGGGAGTTGGGCGGCATACAAGTGTAAACCATAACAATAATAGGAGTAGTAGTAATAATAGGTGCCTTGGCCACTTGAACAGCATCGGAATTGACAACTTTACCATTGGTCAGTTGCAAAAGGCAGCTTTACTTGGAACAGACGATGCCTCTTAACACCTTCAAACATCCACATCTGCCTATCCCAGATCTTTGGGGTCGACTCGATAGGTGGATAAAAATGCCAAATCCATTCTGAACATCTGGCTGACTGTGACAAACCATAACAAATCCTGTAACGATACCTTTAACATCATCAAACAACATCTGCCTATCCCAGGTCCTTGAGAAGCACTCACTAGGCAGATAAAAATTCCAAATCCAATCTAAACATCTGGCTGACTTTTGCAACCAACCTTCATAATATGAACTTTGGGAAAACTAGCCTTCAGTGAATCTTGTCCTCAAAAACATCTGTCATTTATTTTCACTGAGCTTTGCAGTATGAAAACAGGTTCATTGCCTCATTTTTCAATAGGAGACCGGCAGCCTTCCTACTGAGAATGAACTATGCATTTTCCCACGGATCTCTTGTTCATTTCTTCATTGACACTAGAACAATGCCAAAAGCTCTCATTTTCCCCCTTTCCTTTTTTCAGTGTTCTTAACTAGCAGTGCTGGGAAAATACCTTGGCCAGAGTCCCACCAAGGGCTACATTAAACAGTACCATTCTTGAATCTGTATCTGCGTTGAATAAGGCACCTTCCAACGCTTATTTGTTTGCCTGCATGTTGATTAACCAAGTATTGTTTATGCAGCACTGCCTTCATGTTGATCCTTGGTGGATAGCAAATCTCACATCCATTTAAATCAGAGGTCCTCAACCTATTGGACACCAGGGACTGGTTCTGTGGAGAAAGGTTTTTCCGTGGATCCGAGAGTGCATGGTTCTGTGTGCTGCCTGCATCCCATGGATGGGGCTTTGCTTGTTTGTGTGGAACAGTTGCTGGCATGCCGCGGCCCGGTACCGGTCCACAGACCGGGGGTTGGGGACCCCTGATTTAAATGAAGGCCCCACCCTATAACCTGACTTTGCTCTGCTCTCCAGTTCTTCTTTCATAGTAAGCCAAGAATGAAGGCGAGTTGTTTACGAACCTCGCAGTAATTCTCCTGTTCATGCGATCTTGATCAACAGGCACTGTGGTGTACGGTGAGCCCATTGCAGCAAGCTTGGGTACCGACGGATCTCATTACTGGAGTAAAAACTGGGCCAAAGCAGCTGCTTTTGTCACTTCACCACCACTGAGTCCTGACCCAACCACTCCGGACTTCCTCAATTCTCTGCTGTCCTGGTGAGTTGGAGGTAGTGGCGATCCTTATATGAGTTGATTCTGATCTCAAAACATGGGAAATGTGTGTCAAAGTAGGAAGAAAAAAAAAATCTGTGTTTCATGCAGTTGGCTTGGATTTGCACCGAGTTGTATTAAAAGACTTGTCTTCACGCCCTCTCTTCCTCTTTGATTTATTCACCTCCTCTGCATTACTGTGGGATATTTGAGACCCAGCCTGAGAATGCGGCCCCAGGTTCTATCAAGGAAAGTTTTACGATGCAACTATATCCTCTTCCGCACTGCTGTGATTAAACCTGGGAAACTTTTCAAAACGTGTGGCTCAGAATTCCAGCCCTTCCTCCCAAGCTAAGATTTAAGACCACGGCTGGTAATAAAGAGGTGATTTATAAAGATGAATAATTTGTAGTCCTACCTAACGTTTGTTTCATGCAGTGAGCATTGATTTAAGTGCAGGTTTTCTTTTTTTGCTTTTGCTGTCATTTTGACATTGATGAATAGAGCAACTTTTGTCTTCTGTTTCCAGCGGAGATCTCCAGGTTACTGGCAGTGGCCACTGTACTTTCAATACTGCCCAGAAAGCTGTTGGAAAGGACAATTTCACTTTGATCCCACAAGGAACCAATGGAACTGAGGAACGGATGTCCATCATCTGGGATAAAGCCGTGGTAGGTTGCTATTGTTTGGGTTGGGATGAAGTCTGCCAGTGCCAAACCTGTCAACTGTCTGTAACCAAGTTCCCTGCAGCCACGGCTTGGCAGAAGCTTTCCAATGCCAACTTAGTTGATGAACATTGATAGAGGTGACGTGAATCCGTTGGCATCTAGGGAATAAATTTGGACATTCAGATCAGTATCGGTAGCAAAGCATTTAGGGATTCTCCCTTGCTTTGATAGGACGGTATCATTTGAGATCACATTGTGATTAGCATTCATCTAGTTCTGTAACTGTAATGATATGTGGGAGTGGCAGACAGGAGGAAGAACTGTAGCCTAGACAATCATTATGCAAAAGGGATCTCACCCCTTGGAAAGAAAAGGGGCAGGAGAAGCATTTCATAAAGGACTCATCCTAGTTTTCTGGAAAGCAGAATAAATTTGTACCTGGGCAATAGAGTTCAAAAGCAAATAAAGCCAAAGAATCAGGCGTAGCCCAACAAAATAATTCCTTTTGTAGGCAGCTTGAAATTCCCCTTCCCCCTCTCAGAACAGGATGGGCATGGATGAGCACAAGCTGTTTCTTTGATGACCCCATTAGTTCCCCCCCCCCCCTACTGCTGGATTGGTTTTTCCAGTGTGACCCTTCTTTGATTTAGGTTACTGGCAAAATGGATGAGAACCAGTTTGTTGCTGTCACTAGCACCACAGCAGCCAAGATCTTCAATCTGTATCCACGGAAGGGGCGCATTGCAGTGGGATCTGATGCTGACCTGGTGATCTGGGATCCAGACAGCGTCAAGACGTTCTCAGCCAAGACGCATAACATAGTAAGTTTGCAGATTAAAAACTAGGGCAGTATACGGGTGAAAATGCCGGACTGTGGTGGGAAAACCTAGGGGCTGGCACACCATTCATCACAGAACAGCCTTGATGCCATAGGGGATGGAAGTTAAGCCTGGAGTAGACTTCTGCATCGCTGCGTGTCATGGAACCTAGGCGTCTGTCGTCTGGAGATGGTTGCATAATTGTTGCATTTATAGTTCTGCAAATGTTAACATTCTGGGTAGGGGCGCTCAAACAACAAAGCACCAACAGGAAGCCAGAACAACCGATCAGCATGCAGGATACATATCTCCGCATAACGTGTAGTTGAGATTTGGGAGTTGTGTGTTTCGGCATGCCTGCAACCATTTGCAACCTATGTTTACCCATCAACCCCTTCACAGCATAGGTGTGCGTCTACACCTATGCCCTGTTGCAGAAAAGCCTAAATCAAACTTTCCTTCTATCAGCCCAACCTACCTTGATGATGGTTCTAGGGAAAGTGCTTTGAAATACATACTACCTCCTCCTACGCTGCTGGTCCAGTCAAGATCACAACCCAAATTTTGCCTTATCTTGACAAATAATGAAAACCTTGTCAGCCAAAGCTTGGCAAACATGTTTTGTAATATCTGTTAACCAGTGAGAAAAAGGCTAAATAAAAAAAAAACATTGACAGATTATGTTTTAAGTTATTTGGGGGTATTAAAAAGAAGAAAAGAACTCATCAGTTTATGGAAGATTGAAAATGGGGTGCTTTTTCTCCTTACATTTGGCAATCCCTAGTATGTGACGCAGAAAGAACTCTTCCTGAATATCTGCAAGATGGCACTAGTGAAATTCAATAGGCTTAGAAATGTATCAATATATTTGCATTTACATACACTCCCTTTTGGATTTATGCAAAGGTGTATTTGTAAGCGTTGTTTTTATCGATTTAGCAGAATACTAATCAAATTGAAAATAATGTTTGAGATTTGGTTTAGTGATTCCACTGTATATTTCAGCCCCGGTAGAAGTGGAGCAGAGCATTCTCTGAACATCTGCAATAGAAGCAGCGACACGGTCCAAAAAGAAATGTTGTAATTGACCTTTTGGATAATTTAATAGGAGTGTTTTCTGCTTCTTTGGCCTTGAGAAGAAAAAAAAGAGACAACAAGTGCTTTGTTGTCTTATTTACATCTCCTCTAGCTATTGGCAGAAAGCCCAGAGAATTTTTAGAAACTTTTAAGCCTTGAAAACCGGCATCTTGGTCTAATAAAAACATTACAGGTGTAGTCTTCAATTTGCCACCACAGTTGGGACCTGAATTTCTGTTGCTAAACAAGGCAGTTTTAAGAAACTCACTGCAATTGTTAGGTGAATCAGATAATTGTTAAGCAAATCCGGCTTTCCGCATTGATGTGGGCGGTTTACAGTGTCAGCATATTATCCCCATTAATCTGGGTCCTCATCTTACCGACCTCGGAAGGATGGAATGTTGAGTCAACCTTGAGGCAGTCAGGATCGAATGCCTGGCTGTGGGCAGAATTAGCCTGCAATACTGCATTCTAACCACTGCGCCACTATGGCTCCTAAATGATCACAAATGGTGATCACATGACCTTGGGAGACTGTAACCATTGTAAATAAATATATGCCAGTTGCAAAGTGCCTTAGTCCACAGGATCATGAGGATCCTTCAGCAGCTGTAAGCGCAAGTGTAAGTCATTGTTTTCAGTACTGTGGTAAGTTCAGATGATTACTATATGAATGGTTGTAAGCCAAGGACTACTTGTATCTCATTGGAGTTCTGTTTCTTCGCTTCTGATAAGTTCTGGTAGCCTTGGCTCACTCAAGGTCCTGTTGCTGTAGTGGGATCATCTTGCAGGATCTGGGAATGGCGGTCTTCCTGCCCTATGGAACATCTGCCTTGATGTCTGGGGAGCACGTGCAACGTGTTTCATGACCAAACTAGGTAATGTCATCAATGCTGATGATGTTACCTAGTTGAGTCATGAAAAATCTGCAAGAAAACCATCAAGCTCACAGCACCAAGGGCAACACAAATCTAACAGTGTTCATGCAATTCCAGAGATGACATTTCAAGGATGGATTCCTCATCAACTGTGGACCTGCCGCCTTTTGTCTTCCAGAACGTGGAGTATAACATCTTTGAAGGCATGGAGTGTCGTGGGTCTCCTTTAGTGGTCATCAGCCAAGGAAAAATTGTACTGGAGGATGGTAACCTCCACGCAACTGAGGGGTCTGGCCGATACATTCTTAGGAAACCGTTCCCTGACTTCGTTTACAAACGTATCAAAGCCAGAAGCAGGGTAAGTAGGTTGAATCACCACCACCTTTATTATCTGGTCTTGCAAATTATAAAGTAAATTTAAAACGGGTCTGTTAAAAGGAGAATCCAGCAGTTGGGCACATCTTGAAGATTAGCAGATTGCGTTGTTAGAAACCTCCGGATGCTTTTGATCAGGGGGTTGGAAATGTATGGAAATATAGAGAAGAATTATGAATTTGGACTGATCTCCAACTTCCAATCTGCAGGCTGGCTGAGTTTCTTGACAAAATATTGGTTAATACCTCAAAATATACAGCCTGCTTCTCAGTACCCATGTAGTCATATTTAATGTAGAGTAATGGTTCACACCATTACTCGGAACATCCCTCCATGAAGCAGTTCTTGATAGAAAATTTTTTTTTCTGTCTTGCAATCCAGGACTCACACTTAGTCTTTCGATGCTTTCGATGCTTCTGATTTGGAATCTGTTAGCAAAGGTGCTTCGTACAAAGTCCCACAACGGCCCTGGTGCACACTCTGTCAGAATATTTGAAGTTTCCTTAAATTTCATTGGAGCATGCAAGTCTGTCTCCTTGGGGCAAATATCCCCACAGGCCAACATTTTGCATGAGGTCTTGTAAGCTTTTGATGTTCTTCCACCGGCTGTTAGTGGTCTCACAAGCATACATGGGTTTAGGAGAGCAGAAGACTTTGAGGTAGTCTAGCATGGCCTGTTGAAGGTGTTGTGTTGACTATATAAGGAGATCATAAGCAGAAATACTTAAAACCGGGGGTGGGTGAGTGGGTTTCCAACCTTGGCAACATTAAGACTTGTGGATTTCGACTCCCAGAATTCCCCAGCCAGGTGTCCAACTTAGCAACTTTTAAGACCTGTGGACTTGAACTGAGAAGATAGGAATAGGTATAGGAGCCAAACAAAAACAAACTGGATTATTTATCCCTATATTGCCAGGCATTGTCTCATTCTTTTCTTTCTTTTCTTCCTTTCTGCCTTCCACATCACTTTTTTCCCAAGCTGGCTGAATTGAGGGGTGTCCCACGCGGTTTGTACGACGGCCCTGTTTGTGAAGTATCGGTGACACCAAAAACGGTCACACCAGCTTCCTCCGCCAAGACGTCCCCAGCGAAACAGCAGGCCCCACCTGTGAGGAATTTGCACCAGTCTGGATTTAGCTTGTCGGGTACATGCTTTCATGAGGCTAAACTATTGTCATGGAATGTTTGCTTTATTTGACTAGCATTCCAGGAGGGGAGGGGAGGGGAGGGGAGGAGACGGGGGAGAGGATGTAAGCGATTTCTGTTTGCTAGCTTAGAAGGTTCTGCTTACCAGTTCTGGTTCAGTGTTGTAGGAGGAAAATACAGACAGTACAGCTAAACGTAGCTGGGTTATCATCCCCTGGGACATGTTTTGGGTTGCTGGAATGGAGATCTCAGTGAGATACCTCAGCATATGCAAACTGCAGTTTCCGGAATGACTGACTGAAAAGATCGTAGTTCAGAATAATGCAACGACATTAGGCTATGCAGGTCGTCCTTGACTTACAACGGCTTACAATTGAGCGCAGATTTTTCATTGCTATAGCAAGTGAGTTTGGCCCCATTTTACGGCCTTTCTTGCCACAGTTGTCAAGTTAATTACTGCAGTTAAGTGAGTAAAATAGTCATTAAGTGAAGTTGGCTTCCCTATTGACTCTGCTTGTCGGAAGGTTGCAAAAAGGGATCACATGACCCCGGCACACTGCAACCGTCATAAATATGAGCCAGTTGCCAAGCCTCTGAATTTTGATCAAGAGACTGTGAGGATGCTGCAACAATCACTTTTTTCCAGATGGTCACTGAATGGTTGCAAGTCAAGGACTACGTGTGTGGTTTAGTTCACGGAGGAGGAGGAGGAGGAGGAGGTGGAGGTGGTGGTGCCACCGTAAAAAAACAAAACAAAAAACTGAGCAGCCATCGCAGTACCGATTCTATTGCCAGTCGAATAATCTTGGAAGACTTTTAATGAGATGACCTCACGCTTGTCTATGATAGTAGAAGACAGTCTTAAGTCTAAATGCCTTGAAAACTTAAACTATTAATGGGGGTGTGTGTTATTTTCAGATCTGCTTTTAAAAAGTGCAAGATAAGAAGAAATCAGTTAGGATTCCCCTGGCCCAAGCCATGCAGACTAAGCCAGTCTTCGTAAGGGATCTTCCCATTTCACCCATTCAGTACCGCAGTGGTCCGCAAACCCCTGGTCCGGGGATTGGTACCGGTCCGTGGCCCATTCGGAATCGGACTGCGTGAATGGCGGGCGAGCGTGCAAGGCTTCATTTGCGCATGTACAGGATTAGGTTGCGTGTGCGAAACCATACCCTCCCTCTCCACCACCAAGGCTGCCGGTCCGTGGAACCAGAAAAGTTGGGGACCACTGGAGTATGGAGCAAGTCCAGATGAAATGACTGTATTGATCAGTCGAATTTACCAGATTGCAGTCAGCCAAATCAACGCTTTAGACTTCGTTTGAAATCACCGTTGAATTGCTCACTTTAGATATGTGTACATCTTCAGTTTTTCACTCTGCTTCTCTCCCTCCCTCCCTCTTTCCAACTCGTAGGTGCACAGATCGACGATAATATCCCACGGCGTACTACACAGCGCATAGTTGCGCCCCCTGGTGGCCGTGCCAACATCACCAGCTTGGGTTAAAAACGACACCGCGGAGGAGAAAAAGTCCACTTAGCAGATGGTGGGAGAGGGTGGGGACACTTGAAAAGATCTTTTTAAAAAATTCTTTTAGAGCCTGTGATGGTTACTGTGGATGAGGCCATAATCTCTCTCTCTCTCTGTCTTTCTTCCTCTCCCTCTCCCCCTCCCCTTTTCCTTTATTGTTAACCATTTCCCACCCCATCTCTTCACAAAACCTACTTCTCCTTTCCTCCACATTTGGGAACAGACACCTCTCCTCTCCCACCCTCCCTTTTCTGCTTTTAAAAGAGATAAACATTGACGTGTAGAACTTGTAGTTGACGTGACCATGAGCATCATCGTTTCTTTGCTTTGCCTCTTTTATTTTTTTAATTTTCTTTTAAAGGAAGGATAAAGTGAATGTCCTGTGAGCTGCCTCTTCCCCCCCCCCCCCATCTATTAAGGTTGGGTTTAATAAAGGGTTTAAACTGGACATTTCCAAAACTGGACTCACCAATCATGCGACTTAGAACATGGGACTAACCATCCCAAACCCAAACCCATGGATGGCCTTCTTTCCAGTTAGAGGAAGATTTTTGTGCTGCTAAGTCAAGGTGTAATTGTGATGTGGAGAGAATGTATCCCATCTTATTTTGATATTTAATACCTTTATCCCACTCTTGAAGCAATTGAAGGATTCTTCACTTTCTTATGTGAGAGTGTGTCTGCGCATAGGATTATGGACTTGTTCCTGCCTGTTGCATTGTTTGAGATGCCTTATTTTAGGATGGAGAGAATCTTTCCATTTTCCTATTTTCTTAAAAGAGTTTTAGGGTCTCCATAGCTCCACCATATTCTGGTCATTTCTTGCATCAACCCAACCTTGAGTTTTGCCATCCAAATGATGGTCTTTCAGAAGTTCTCCAATGTGTTCTTCTAAGTTTTGGAACCTTCTAAAAGACATCCTCCACCGTACTTTCCCTAAAGTTGCCTGATTCTCTATATAGTGGACTCCCCTTGTTTAAACTCTTCTATCTCTGTGGGAAGTAGGTCCTTAGAAAATCCAAGGCACAGACTCTTAGAGGGGTTGAGAGATCAGAGAAGGAAACTGGGTGGGGAGCATCTTCTAAATTACTTCCTGCACTTAAAAGTGTATTGTATTGAAAAAAAGAAGACATCAATCCGTTCTTGCCACTATCCCAAATAAGAGGGCCAGCTGCAGAACTTAATTGTCACCATGGCTTGTTTCTTATATTCTAACAATACATGAATTGTTTCATAGCTTAGAATCTTACGTCTACTACAGTATCCCCCTTGACCTCAGTCTTCATTTTTCTACCAATAGTACTACTACTATTGTTAAACCACCCAGAGAATGCTGTAAAGTGCTATGGAGCAGTATGTAAGCCTAAATGCTGTTGCTGTTGCTAGTATGGTCTTAGAGAGTTGGGTCTTGACTGAGTGAAAACTGAGATATGGGAGAGACACGTAGGACTGATTCCCAGAATGCCTTGGTGCAAGAAAAAGAAAATGGATGGAACCCGGTGTGGCAAATAGAAATCCTTGCCATTCTTTGATCACAATGTATCTGGATTAGCTTTGGAGTTAGGACTGCACAACCTGTTTCGTGCAACAGCTGTTCTGTGTTTGAATTGAAGGTTTGAGGGAGCTGCTGCCTGAATCAAACCATGCACCCTTTGGAATGTTTTGTTCCACGGGAGAATGAAGTAGGATTGTTCTGATCTGCATGCAGGACAATTGTAGTTGCTTTGATCTGGACGCAAAGACGTTTGGGTCTTTGCCAGCTTAGGGTACTTGCCAGGACTTTGCCAGCTTAGGGTACCAGCTTAAGGTACTAAAAGAAAGTTGGCAGTAGACATAATGAGGAATGCTGATGCGATGCTCCTTGCTAGACATGGGTGACAGCTGAGGTGAGGAACAGAAGTCTCTGGGAAGGTGTTAGGTTGAACCAGTGGACCATACTACTTGGAACTGCTGAGGGGAGAGAATAGGTATCTGTCATCAGCTTCACCCTACTTGCCCATCCAGTTTTTGCTTGGCCAAAATGCAAAATAACTAAAGCATTGAGCTTTTAGGTTTTCCTGACCTGGAGTGATTCTGCAGAAGTTCTATAACTCTGCATTGTTTGGAGTTGAAGATAAAATGCTTCTACTTTGTGAACGCGTGCACTTGGCAGCGACTCTAACCTGCATTGTCCAGCCACCGATCTTTAAATCTCTTGTGCTAGCTGAAGGCAGTGCATTCCTGACCAAGCTAGTAGCATGGCCAACTTGCCATGAATCATCCTCCTTTTAAATATACGTGCAAAGGTCTGAACGTGGGTGGATTTGAAGCACTGGCCTAGGTGCACAGAGGCCTCTTAATTAATATTTATTATTGGTCCAGTGAAGTGGATGAATCTCTTCGCTTGTTCTGATCCCACGATAGAATCCAAATGTGTATAATTTGCAGGATTCAACTGTATGTAGCCCATACAGGAACTGCCATAATTCCCAATTCTTATCTGATCAGAGTATATAGAAATACGAACGCTTCCATTCAACCTTCTAGGAGATTAACAGGCAAAGATTTTCGAATCTCCCTTTCCTATCTTTGTTGGGTTGATTGAGTCATTATTTGGTTACATCTTTCCTTTATTGTTTACTTCTTCCTTTTTTAAATAGTAGTCTTCGTGTACACGTATGGGATTAATTTGTGCCTTTACTTAATCTTGGATGCAGGTCTTGGAAGGGTTTTATAGCCCCCCCTTCTTAAATCCGGTTGACTCCGCTAAAGCAAAATTTTAAGTTTCTACTTTTCCTAAGGTAGACCTTGAAACCTATGAAGGATGAAGAATATGATTGAGTTCAAGGCCAAAAGTTATAAGGAATTTACACAGCACATATGAAATACTAAGATTCCCAAATATTCCCTCATTAGTAAGTCATGAGTGCTCCTTCCTTTCTTTCCGCTGACTTAAGGTCAGAAGTGGTTCAGTCCAACATGCCATTGTTCCTCTTACCACTTCCATGTATAGACCAGGCATAACATGGTATTGCTTCCCAGTTCTTGAGTTGACATCCACAGATGTAGTCAACTTTACTAGTCTGTTCTGGATCCTTGAACTGTTTATATTTTTTCAGCTTGCCCCATATTGGGCTCACCTCTACACTATCACGTCTACTGGAATATGTGTGAAGTCTACTATATGTGTTTGTAGATTCTCAATGTTCTGGTAGCCGTGGAGCAATGGGTGATGTGCATAATCCAACAAGCTTGTGTTCCTCCTTCCATATATTCAGCCATATGAAGATAGTCCTTGGGACACTTCCAATCTTTGGTCTACATTCCCCATTGCTCAGATAGGAGTGTAAAAACACCTGCCATTTGGATGCTGAAATGTATGGTGCGATAGGTATGAAATTGGAAGTTAACCTGCCCCTTTTCTGCCTTCCTTCCTTCCTTCCTTTCTTTTTTTTTCATGCTGTTACGGGCAACGAATTCCAGACCATTTCAAATGGATTTCTTAATTTTTTTTTATTTACTTACGAGATTGCACTTTTATTAAGAAAATATTTAGTAAGTGTAATATATATATGTTCAGCTATTTTTAATGTTATTTTTTTTCATTTGTGCTTTAATAATGAATTTAAGCATTTTTTTTTAAATGGGAGAAAATTCTTTTGTAAAAAAAAAAAAACTCCAAGCAACCGTGTTTGTTTCAGTTGTGTGAAATGCATGCAGCTCCCTGCTATTCACTTGAGTCTTCCTTCTCTCTCTCTCTTTCTGTCTCTCTCTCTCTCTCTCCCCCCTCTTTCTCTCCCCTCCATGTTCATAATTGTTGTTTTGCTTTGTGCTTTGAGATGGGGAATAGAAAAAGTTTTTTAAAAAAAATTACAGGCTGTGTAAGCATGTTGTTTCCTGTGGGACCTCACTCGTTCCGTGTGTCTGTTTTTAATGACTGTCCTATGTAAATGCATAAAAAAATGACACTGAACATGGAATTAATTTACCGCAGTGACTTGATGCTCTAAAAGAAGAGGGAAATCATAATGACAGATAATTAAACTATGTAGAATTTAATACTAGATGGATTTTACCCCTTGGATTTGTGCTTGTGAAAATGAGTGAAGGAGCTGTAAGTGCTAAGATGATCATGTGTGTAGACAAAAACAAAAACAGGAGAAAAAAAAAACCACCCCAACCCTTATATTTGACCATTCTCTGGATGGGGAAAATAATGGCATAAAACAAGTCGTGTGTTCTTTCTTCCTTAAAAAATTCTGTGTTACATTACCATGGGAACTCCTTAATAAAGATGAAATGTTGTTGTTTCAGTTGCTGAGCTGGGGTCCAAGAGGTTGATTTTATGTGTGAGTTTGCTGTGTTTGTCCATGCCAAGATGGCAGTTTGAGCCAACCTACCACAACCTGGAGACTTCCAAAGGCCTGAACTTCCAACTACTGTAAATCCTTGGCCAGTTAATAATAATAATAATAATAATAATAATAATAATAATAATAATAATAATAATAATAAAAAAAAACCTGCTCTGGGACTTCAGAATTCAAACGACAAAATGCCAAATCCAGTCTGAACATCTGGCTGACTCTGCGATGATCCATAATAATAATAATAATAATAATAATAATAATAATAATAATAATAATAATAATAATAATAATAATAATAATAATAATAGGTAAGGACTCGATAGGTAGACAAAAATGCCAAATCCGGTCTGAACATCTGGCTGACTGTGCGATGATTAAGAATAAGTTGGAAGGGACCTTGGAGGTCATCTAGTCCAACCCCCTGCTCAGGCAGGAAACCCTATACCATTTCAGACAAATGGCTGTCCAGTCTCCTCTTAAAAACTTCCAGTGTTGGAGCATTCACCACTTCTGGAGGCAGGTTGTTCCACTGGTAATTGTTCTAACTGTCAGGAAGTTTCTCCTTAGTTCTAGGTTGCTTCTCTCCTTGATCAGTTTCCATCTGTTGCTTCTTGTCCTGCCTTCAGG